CCTGCTGTGGTTCTCCCGGACCCGGTAGTCGAGGAAGTTCAGGATAGGGGCACACTTGGATACTCCATCTTTTCAGATACGTCCTCCGATTCCAAATAGGCTGGCGTTTTTCCAACGCCCTTCAGTTCCATTGCTAGCACCCAATCCTGTAGCAGTAAAAAGTTTCCAAGATGGTACAGGCGACGACATGAAGGCAGGATATTCTCCTCGAGTTGGTCGATGTAACCGTCAGCGTTCACTTTCAGTCCGGGGTCCACGAAGAAAATATCGGTCTTCCCATTCCAGGAACTTCCGGTCCATACCATCAACCCGCGCCTTGGCGACTGCGGTGAAGATGATATCCTGGACCGTAGCGACGTTGTCGGAGCTGCTCGATGTTGGAGGTCTTCCAGCAAGAGTGCTGGTCCCCAGGTAGCAGGGTGGATCCATACAGTTCCGCAGCTGTTTGGAGGTGACGTGAATTCCATAGGCCTTCTCCAGTCAGGCTGCGATTGGAGATGGCTTCATATTTTGGTGTACATGAAGGTGATGGACGAGAGCCTGCTCCTGCTTATCGAGGAACATCTTGTCCGCCCTGGTACTCGTATCCACGTCTTCTATCTGGGCTGCGTAAACTTTACTGATATGTGACTGAGCCAAAGTGTTTTTTTTTGCCTCTCCCCGTACTACAGTTCTTGTAAGCAGCTACATTGTAACTACAGTCTTGTTTGCTGCGGCCTGTGAAGGGATTGAGTTTGGAGCTACGCCAACCCGTTCTCTACCATTCGTGGAGGCTGGTTAGCCACCACAGTTGGTGCGAAACCGCTGTGTTAGCCACCACAATTCATGGTGCGCAACGGGCTGGCGCTGCGCCAACTTTCACACCCCCTCCCCTCTGATAGTGTTCGAGTTCGAACACGCATCCATGGGTTTTGGTTGCAGATGAACTCACAGCTCGTCGCGGTCGCAATCGTTGCATTTTTGACGATTCGCCGTCTGGGGCTCAGACACCGAAAGCCAAATTTGATTCGAAAGTGAAAGCCTTGGGTGTCAAATTTTACACGGTCGCTGAAATCGGAAAGGTTTGCCAATTGTGCCTTTGCCTTTGATCTATTATCTCAGTCAATATCCATACTTTCTATTTAGCTCACCGACTGTATCGATGACTCTTTCTATGCTTGTGCTACTATGAAAGAGATCAAAGAGAGTGAGTACAGTATTGAGAACTTTTCTTGATTGATTATCCTTGTAAAGTAGTTTTCAGAAGCCATATCATGTGCAATGGAGAATACTGCTGCTGCAAAATACATCACGTTGATGAAGCTGTTGACAGGCAGTGAGTACTGAAAAAGCTCTTTTTTAATTTGTAGGGTCGTAAAAACCACAATAACATTCTCATTCAAATAAAGGTTCATTCAAACAGGATTCTTGCACTGAACGTGCAAAGTCTGTCAAAACCCGTTCTTGGGAGGACCGACTTCCTCGTACAAGGGAAACTAGGGCACCTGCAAGGCTGGATTCCCAGTGGGAATTTCAGCGATAGGAGGTCGTATTGTGGTCGCCTGGAGCGAGGTCGTATTTGGCCTAGACGGATGACATTGTGTTTTCCTGTTTGATTGCGCCTGTTCACAAGAGATACTCACCATAACGAGATTTATTTGCACTTAGAAATTTTTTGAAATTAGAAGAGCGGACTGTATTACAAGGTAGTACGTAGCACGGGAAGGTCGTACATACTTGGCGGAAAATTGGGGTAGTATCCTTATCGGCATCTTCGTGATTCAAGCATGTTAGAGGAAGGAAATAAGAATAGAGATGAGAAGAGGAAGGAAGAAAAAGTTAGAAAGAGTAAGGAAAAAGTGGGGATGAGGGCGGATTCGCGATTGACATATATGCTGACAATGAGACCGTCAGATGGCTGTTTTGGCGCGATCCAAACCCGTTCCTTCACGCATTTTGTTGAAGCGAGCAGATGGAGAACTGGCTGCCACACCAAACCGAGGTGCCACCTGATCCTCCCCAGTATCGACGGCGAACAGGACTGTAAGCGTGGCACTTTTATTACACCGCCTCCACGTCCTCACGACGTCCTGGGTAACAATAATGACGACGCTGTTTACTACGGAATGTTACCAGTTTCATATTGCAACGGAGAATTCAAGTAGGAGAAACCTAGCGCGCTCGAACTCGATACTGGGGTAAAGTATTTATTGGTTTCAAACGACGTCTAAGATTAACTTCTTTTAGTGGACAACTGCCTAAGCCGGCAAGGTCAAACACAATGAAGCTTATCGACAAAGTCACCCATCTGCCTTCACAGGTACAGGTGTGTCATACACATAAGCGTAGTTGATGAAAGCTACTATACTACATAGAGATGGGGGGTTTTACGCGGCGAGAAGACTGAATCCGCCCCTCCTCTTTTCAAGGAGTAACTTATTTTCCCGCTCGTGATTGGAAAAGAGTATAAATAGTCCTAAACTAAAGATTTAGACAATCGCTGATATCAAGATCGCAAAAAATGCTGGAAAATCGAAAGCGGAAGTTATGGACATTGGATATACGACCATAGCTGGACAAGTAACCAAAGCACTGATGGAAAAACTGTGCAATACACTCATTCCGGCGAGTTTTCTTTCATTAAATTTGAGCAAAAATAACCTCTTGAAGTGTTGATACATCTGAGTAAGTCGTCGCTCCACTTTTCGGACTCTTGAAAAGAAGGGTAGTAAAATGTGTGCTCGAAGAATGTGAGCACTTTCCCATCATCTTGACGTGAATTGAAAGACGTGTGGCAATGAGAAAGTGGGGAAGTGAAGGCCCGGAAAATCGCTGACTCTTCATTCTCTTGTTTCAAGAGCGCTCTGATGGCCTTTGCACTAGAATTCAATAGTTATTCGATCTACTGACCATGGGGACACCAAGGCAAAAGATATGGCTGCACCCATTTTATTGGCCTAAGCGTCACCCGAGCTGCAAAAGAATGTGGAAGAAAAGTGGAATAAAATTCACTCAGTTGCTAAAAAATCTCCAAATATTCGAAAATGAATCATATTGGATCTTGCCATCACTTTTCATAAGATTCTTAGTTATTAACAAAGACTTTTTTCAGATCATCACAAAACTGGAATGGAACTGCTACCTTACTAAAACCACAGATCTCCTTGATATGACTTTGTATGAATGTTCGAAGATTGTCAAGAAGTAACTGCGCTGTGGATAAAGCTGTTAGCGGCATTCATTGATTCATTGATGTTAATAGAGTACCTCGCATAAGAGCAAAGTGGACAGTTATAAGTACTGAGAATCTGCCAAAAGAAGTGCTGACGGAAAACGCAGAGTTGATAACGGAAGTTGAGGACGATTAAGTTGGACTCTCACGCTCAGCGTGGATCTTTAACACATTGAACGCCGCGTGAATACACGCGCATACTTCCCGATTCATCGCGTTGTCGGTATTGCCACATATCACGTTTTTGTGTGGTCGATATTTCGTGGATGAATATGGCAGACTTGTAATCATTCTCACCGATTTATATGGTTCAGTGAGCTTTGGCTTATTGCTTTGTTCTTGACGTGCATGAACATAGCTGCTCATTGAAGTAATTCGTTAATATTATAAAGTAACAGTCAGTAATTGAGTGTTATTTTGATTCTTATGATAGCTCCGCCTCACTACAATTGTAGTAAGACTACTAGTGATAATTAGCATTGATTTGCAATACATTTGATAGTGTTCAATTCATTATGATTATATATATGTTGACGTTTAGTTCTTCTACGTTGTCCAGATCCATCTATGCAGCTAAAAGAAGTCATCATTTATATTGAGCGATGTAGAAATGAGCGCAAAAGTAACGAATGAGCAAGGGGCATGCGGGCACAAAGACTCCCGTTTCGCGCGTTTGTGTATTGCACGCAATTCACGCGCGCGGAGACGCAGGAAGTGAAAACGGGAGTCGCCGCAACGCCGCGGCGTTCAATGTGTTAAAGGGGCAGCTCAGGCTTATCATGGGGGTGGGTTTTCAAAGTGAGGTTAGCGGAACAGCTGGAATACAAGTAAATCCAAGGGTTGATCTCTCACATAGTGAAGGCAACGTGTCACACATATGATGATTTATGTGGGACTGTTGGCATATCTTGCCCCCAGTTGGGGTAGGCACGTACATCACGACGGTCGCCGTTCCTTGTCTTTCCATGGTGCGATCTTTGGAAAAAGAAAACCTCTGTAGTTAGCGAGTTATCTAGATGTGTTCCCCATCCGGGTGTGCGCAGGGGCTTAGTTTTGTAGCCTATGCGTTTCAGTACTTTCCTTAGTATGTTGTTGAGCGGGCACGCGACAATAACTGTGGAAAATGGCTAGTGCCGAGCACCAATACCGCAGCTCCCTGGCACACGCCTCAGCCTGCGGCAGTGGAAAGTTTATACCCGTACCGAGAAAGATACTCCACCCCATGGAGTAGTCGCGGCGTGCTCTACCCAGGTTAGTTTACACCCTTTTTGATGCGGACGTCGTCCTTATACAAGGTGGTTCTGTTGCACTTACGGATGTGTGCCCTACTTTCGGTGTAGAACTTCTTTTTTTTGCGATCATCGGACCAGAGCAATGCCCCGCCCACTGCCCATGCCACACCCATCCTTCCATTGTTTTCGTGATAGTGCGGTTATTCTGCTAAAGACTTCTTCCTTGAGTTTTTAAGATTAAAGAGCTATATGGTGATGGGGAGTGGCCACGACCCAGTTCTCGCCTGCTGCCCTCCTTTTGCTTTAGTGCTCGCTGAAAGCTCGGTTGGGCTTGGCATTCCTATCTCAGGCATTTCCGAAAGTTTTGTCATAGTTTCTCTTCACGATTATGACCACTTCATAGCTATTGATCGAACTTGGTGCTTTCGCAATCAAGCGGGGCAGTGTCAGGCGAGGTGGCATGGGCGTTACCCCGACTGGGTTTTTCTATAAGTGGCTTGAATCCGAAGAAACAACCAATCGTAGGAACGCTGAGGGTGGGCTCGGCGTGTCTCAACATCACCTCTGTATTGCGTCAGACACCCGCGCAGAAATGGAGTCAGTTTCCTGGTGCCATTCCATGACATGCCTCAACTATGTAAGTAAACCAATAACAACGCACTTTCTGGCTCGACTGGGTTTATTTGAGCCGATCTACCCACTGTTTCTTGTTCTGGGTGTGCCTTGTTCAGAAACACTAGAGGACCATTTTGTTATAAAAACAGTGAAGAGCTCGCTTGTTTGGGTGGAAGGGGGGGGGGTCTCTTGCCGCTCAAGCCTAGAGAGGAAACGGAAGCTGAGCTATCTCTTTGCTTTCGATCCCCTCAATAATTCTCATTTATTTGATTTTACAACATAGTCCACTAATTTCATTTTCGATGGTTTTTCTTTGTGTGCAATTGCTTTCATAAGCAATTAGAGTCAAGATAGCCCAATAAGCCTGAGGGTCCTGGACCATCGTTTCTGCACTTTGAGTCCCCTCTCAGATGTGTTTCCAGTGCGCCATAGCTTTCTTGGACTGATAGCGTGACATTGGGCGGTAAACATTTTCTGCATCTTTGAATAGGGGCACTGGTAATGAGGCTAAGACATGTAATACTCCAATTTTTTTAATTCAAATCTATTTTTACTTTGGAAATGAGTTGCCAAGGGCTATTCTCGTACATGCTTTTTACTTTATGGTTATACCATTTTGTATAAATGTTTCCAGTGCGCCATAGTTTTCTTGGACTGATAGCGGGGCATTGGGCGGTAAACATTTACTGCATCTTCGAATACGAACTTGGCACCTGTTAACTTTCATCTCAGGTCAACAGGTGTCAGTTCTGCCAGTTCGCTTTTGCACTGGTTACTTGGGCCTGGGTCTTACGCCTGGGGTTCGTATTTAGATCAAAGAGGCATCTACTTTGGCCCGCCCCGGAATAACCACGGTTAGTTGCGTTGCCCGGGCTGACCTTTCATCAAATATTATTACTCCAAATAACAACATA